TACTTGGATTAGGTTAGACAGTATTCTGTCTGCATCCAATTGCATTTCATCAAAGTATTTCATATTTACGTCAAAAATCTAATCTACACTGCTACGTTTTCTGTCCTATTTTATTCTTGTTGCTACAATTCCATTGACGTTTCGCGTGTTTCTGGTATAATTTGTAGTGTAAAGGGACCTTAATGGTACACTTTTTCACATGCGTATGCTAGAATGTAGATTGGAAGTATTCCCGTAACTATTTGTAGGAATTTGGGTAGGGATGGTTCTGTAGGCACTGGACACTCTAAGCAGCCATTTGGTGTTCAATAAAACTCTGCATTTTGCACATGTCAAGGAGCTTTTACTGGGTTACGTAATACCTTGTTCTATAATCTTTAAAAAGACTTAATGTTACTATTTCTAGCATCTTCAAGATCTGGTTATAGATTTATATTTTATTATTTACGGACAGTTTTTGAGTTCCTGTGTAGGAGCAGGTAGTGCTGTTTATGTTTTAATTTCAATCCAGTTCTTTCTGTTGATTTTTTTTTGTAAAAATTTATAGGAATAGATATTCTTCGCTGATTTTAACTCTCAATTGATTGGTCCATTCAACTAGAGAACTGCTAGTTTCAATTTTCTTTACTAATTTTTCTTGGTTTTCATCATAAACAAGGAGTGCATTATTATCAGAGAATGTAAAGTCAGTCATACCTGCCAGAATTGATGTCACTAGTGTAGAGTAAGTAGAAAATGAGTCCAAGAATATTTCCTTGATACACTTTAGCTCTTAATTATTTTAACCGAACATATTTGTTATTCTTCTTGATTCTGAAAAGTCTGTCTGAGATATATGATGTTATATACTCTACATCAGTGGTTCTTAAACTTTTTTGGTGACGGAACCTTTATGAAAAGTGAAATATTTGACGGAGCCTTAACACGTTGAAGACCTCATTGAAAAATCGTATTTCTCACATAGGGACCGGAATATTTTTTATTGTTGTTTACTTATATAATTTAAAAAAAAAAGTCCGTCAACCCAAAATCCTCAAATACCCAAATCGTAAAAAAACCCGAGTCCCGTTATAGCGATAAGTACAGCTTTTTTTGTTATTGTGTTCGTGGAGCCCCCACACTTTAAGTAACGCTGTTCTACATAATACTCTGATTTTATGCATTTGGACAATATTAGAATATTTTTTATCCTCTATTAACTATAAAATTATAATTACAACAATTGATCTTCGGCGCTTGACATTTCAGTTGGCTAAAAAAAATAAAATTCCTCATATATTTTCCAATAAAAACAGATGGCTGGATATGACTGGCTTTCCGGATTCCGAAAAAGGCACCCAGAAATAACGTTAAGAATTCCAGAAACAACTTCAGCAGTCTGCGCAAGGGGATTTAATAAAATTGTTGTTTCAAAGTTATATGATCTTCTTAAAAGGGTTTTGCAGCAGCACAAGTTTCCTGCCCACAGAGTTTTTAATTTCGACGAGACCTCTGTGTCAACAGTTCCTGGCAGAAACTCAAAAACTTTTGCAAAAAGAGGCCGAAAGCAAGTTTCTCGTGTAACATCAGCCGAAAGGGGAGTTTCAACAACTGCTGTAATTTGCGCTTCTACTGGAGGGGCGTTTGTTCCTCCTATGCTAATTATTAGTAGAAAAAGAATAAAGGCGGAACTAATGGATGGCGCTCCACCTGGAACTATTTTCGGTTACAATGATTCCGGCTGGATGAAATTAGAAATGTTTGGCCACTTGTTTGATCACATTTTTAATTTTACGAAGCCAACTAAAGAGAATCCCGTTTTGCTAATTTTAGATAGACATTTGACCCACACTACAAATCTGAACGTCGTGTCTAAGGCAAAAAAAATAACGTTGTTAATGCTTGCCCCCTCCCCCCCATAAAACACATAAGTTGCAACCGTTGGATGTAGGGGTAATTTATCCATAAAGCACGTACATGGACCAGTAATTAGAAAAATGAATGACCAATAATCCAGGCCAAACAGTAACAACGTTCCAGATAAGCAGAATCTTTTCAGAATCCTACCTGAAAGCATGTGTACCTAATAATACAATAAATGTTTTATAAAAACTGGGATCATACCCTTTGATCCTGACACGTTTGCTGACGCTGATTTCGTAGCAGCAAAAGTTACGGAAGAGACCCACGAAGCTGCTCAAAATAATCAAGAAAACTTAGAAAATAATGAAGAAACTTCTGCAACCAACCCACTTCTACGTAGTTCTCCAATTCCTAGGCCAAGTGCACGACCGGGTATCCCTCCAGAAATTACAAAACATGTATCAGACCAATGTAAAGTCGAAGTGGAAAGTTCCTTTAGCGTAACCCCTTCTGATTGCAATCCTCTTCCAAAAATTAAGGGAAAGAGTGCAGCTCAAAAACGAAAGTCTGTTGGTACCGGTTTGCTCACGAGTACCCCATATAAAATCATGTTGAAGAGGAGAATAGGAAAAAACTTGAACTAGAGGCTAAGATAAAAAGAAAAACAAATCAAAATAAAAAAAAAAACGATACAAGTTAAATTAAACAAGAAGACAAAAAAAGTAGTAGAGGAAAGTGATGACTTAAGCAATAATAGCGGATCAGAAAAGTGCACCTTTTGCTGTGAAAAATACGCTGCTTCTTTGACTGGCGAAGGATGCCGGAGTCGATTAGAACGATTGCGATTTTAAGTGTGATTTCTGTTTGCATTAAACCCAAACCAATCGAATTAAGAAAAATATCAAGTTTTATATTAGTTGAGGTATTAAAAGTTGCTTAACTTAATTTTGTTAAATAATGTTGAGCAAGTTTCTGTTTACTCTCTTAAGAGTATTAAAAATGTTTTAATGCTTTATATGTTGTTTTGTGCTTTTTTTTATAAATAAACCAATGTCTTATATGTTATATTATTTATCGAAATGTGAAGAAAATCAACATCTTTTTAAATACTAAATTGTTGTCAAATGCTCTAGAAAATCCTCTAGACAAGACAAATAAATTTATATCCCTGTACTTGCAAAAATATAACGAAATTAGCCTTAAGGGGATCACTATACCCTAGTCTCCCCTACCAAGGGCAATATTTTCGGACTTTCGATTTTCTATTGTATGCTAACCATTTGCTTCCTGCATCTTATTTGCTGTAAAAATATGTGACAAATATTTGGCAAGTCTACTTTCTATTTATTGTCCCTAACCCATACTCCGTTACCTCTTTTGATGGAAGGAATGAAGCTAATGGATCTTAATATTCCTAGTGGTTTTCCAGAATAAGTTATCTATCTCTTTATCCGGTGAGAGGACCTATACAGGGTGTTTATTAATTGAGTTCCGATACTTAAGGGTGATTTTAGGAAGAAAAGATATTATTAATATAATATGTTGTAAACTTATTAATGTTACAGTTTTAAGAAAAAAATAACTGTTTTATCATAATTTTCTTATCACTCCTGATATTTCTGGTCCAAAAAAAATTGTTTTAACAAAATATCAAAAGCAGTTTCAATGAGCTTGAGAAAAACCTTTTTTTTATTTATTTTTTTACGCGAAAACTGCGTTGTTCGAAAGTAATTTCATTAAACAAATCTGCTTCAAAGTAAATGAGAATTAAAAAAAAAATGTATTTTTAAAAAAACCAGTGGCGTACCATTTTTTTCTTTAAAAATATTCAGTTCAAACCCCGTACGGACGTCACTGGTAAAAATTTAAAACAATGTTCTATGTCAAAAATTTTTCCTTTATGATTGAAAGATGTTTACAAAATTTTATAACAATACCTGAAGTTATAAAAAAATTATGATAATAAAGTTATTTTTTTTTCTAAAACTGTAACACCCTGTAGCTCAAAAATTCAGAGGTTTACGACATATGTTGATGTTAACTTTTTATCTTTAAATCACCCAACGATCCACACCCTTAAGTATCGGTACTCAATTAATAAATATCCATGAGTTTGTTGATAGATCTTCGATTTTCTGCATTTGTCTTCTCAGTTTTATTGTTAAAAATAGCCTTATCAGACGGACCTTCACATTATCACCATCTTCTTTTATCAAAATGGTAATTTTTTTTTATGTTTTTGTAAGCAACTGTTTGAATAATTTTAGTTTTCAACTTCCTCATTGAGATATTCAGAATATTCTTGTTTTGAAATTCAATTCTGAAGCTTCCTCAGTCCGTAGTTTTTTTTAAGTTTTTAGCTATTGATATATTGGCATCACTTTTCTCCATAAAATCTTATAAAAAACAAACAAAAAGACACCACTATTTCCTACAAACCGCTTGAGCTACAACAATAGTTTTAAATCTCCTGTATAAACGTAGTCGTCATTTAACAACATCTACATGTTCGCTCCTCTGTACTGGTGGATCAGTAAAAGCACCGTATCGCCACTTTTAGCCAGGATGTGTTTCATATTTTAGCATTTTTTTATATGTCAGCCTACAGCGTAATTTGCATATGGCTGTTTCATATCCGTCCGATGAAAAGAAACCTTCTGAAAAGTCTATTAGTGGCTACTTTTTTTATAGATATGTTGCTAAATTTATTTTATTTTGTCTGTTCCAGGACATCACAGGATTATCTGTATTAATACCTTGACAAATGTCTTTTTAAAATAACGACGGTAATTTAGTTTTAATAAATAAAGATGATATACTTGAAACAATATTGTTAAAAATTAAAAATTGATTTGACCCAAAACCAATTATAAAAATAAATCGATCGACATATTTTGTAATCTAAAATTACGAGTATTTATTTTATTAATGCTAATAAACTTTGCTTAGGATATAATTATTTAATGCATCTTGTAGTGTTAGCGAAATAAATAGTTATTTTTTGGTGGGAAACCGTCACTGGTATTACTTTATGACACATGGCTTTAAGATTTTTTCTTTAAGAAATTTTACAGCTTTTTTATTAATATTATATAACAAGAAATATTCAATATATAATCAAAGCTTTACTAAATAGATCAAAATGAAATAAAAGGTTTTCTAGCATATTCTTCGAAGATGTTGACCCATTTTTGAAATGAAAATTCTCTCGGTTGCTTTTTGATTTCCAAATTTTCATCTATATCCAAATAGTAGGTATTATATTCCGTGAATTTGGGTAGTGTTAAGTTTTGAAATAATTCTGACTTTTCTGGCAAAGGGTTTCTAAAACAATTAAAAAAATTAGATATCTTACTTTTTAAATAATTTTTCAAAGATTTTTTAACAAAATCAAATACTTACAAATATTTAGCAAAATTGGTTAACAATCCAACATAACGGTCCACAGTTTTTTTGTCTGAATCCGGAAAATCATCCAAAGTTTTGCGAGTTGACCAGAAATAATTTAAATCCTCACCATGTCCAACTTTTGGAATTCCTGCATAAATAAAATAAAAGTTAATAGCGAGTTCTGTAAATTTTTGTGTTGATTTACCATCAATTAAATGCGTATTTCCTCCCAATTTACCGTGATATGAAAATTGATAAAAATATACATCGGTATACTGTGATATCAATTGGGCAAATTTTATCGGAGCTCTCACGTATCTGTTGTCACTCATATACTGAAAAATAATAAATTAAAATTGATGTTTAAAATTAAGTTAATTATTTATTGACGATGTCACCATGGGCAGACAAAATATTTTTCATTGAAAAAAACTAAATCTATTTGATATTCGTTAGGAAATGAACTTTGGAGTTATTGGGTTTGCAGCAAAACGATATGTGTACTCTTATAAGTTTATTCCAAGCTTTCGAATGTAAATACATTCTGTTTCAGGGATCTAGAATATAGTATATAGTCATACATTTTTAGAGATGATTCTATATAAAAAACGATGAACAAAATTCAAGTACCTAAGGTAAATATGGTTCTGAAAGATATGGCATAAAATATGAATTAGTTAATTTTTGGCAATCATTAGTGCTATAGTCACAAGATTTTGCTTGTGATCTGACATCTTATTTAATTTAATATAATTTGCTACATGTAAATTTAATCTGGGGAGTTGCGTTTCGCCCAGGAATATTATGTTTGATATTTTTTTACATTTTCTCAGCCGAGAGTATGAGTCGTTACTTACAATTAGGCAGAAAACCTTTCATGTTACCATTTTCAATATAAATTATCCAAAGATGTCTGCATCTCTCGAGATTTAAAATTAAAAAAATACTACTACATTTACTTTGTCTTGGTACATATTTTATTTAAATTTTGAACCCATTTAAGAGGGTCTTTCGGTTCCATAATAAAAGTTAGTCGCTGCTTACTAGAAACATTCTATATAGTCTAAATCAATTAATGGATTGTTTTCGATCAATTTAATACAAAGATTTAAATTTTTTAGTCGATGATAACATTCCACATCAGTATATTGCAAAATCTATTTTATAGATAGTAAGAATAAACTTTTAAATCATTAATTTGGTAGTTATCTCACTTATAATGATTTTTTTGGAACAAGAGGCCCTTTAACGACGGAAATGTTTTTCGAACTATCCAGTTAGTTTTCGGAAAACTAGAAAAAGTTTGAAGAAAGTCGTCAATAACATTAACGTGCTGTTCATGTGTTTCATTTTAAACTCTTACTCCGATTCAAAATCGAGATTCTCGATATTTCCACAGTTTATTTATAATACTTTCTAAACTGGCTTTATCTATCATTTTACATACTTTATAATATACGTTTACGCCCTACTTTGCACTTTATTAACAGTTTTTTTACATATTTCAAAATGGGAGAATATTCTCAATTCGTTGAAATATTTTATATTCGTATACCTACAGATAAGGAAAGTATAGAAATCATGATTTTTTTCGATTTCAAGTTTTTGACGGATTTTTATGTTTTGGGGTCCCCTCAATCCGTTTCGACTATTTTCGCGATGATGTCTGTGTGTGTGTCTGTATCCACGATAACTCATGAACTGATATAAATAAAAACAGTAAATATCGACGGTTGAAAGGAGAAACTGTTAATACGCCAATATTGTGACTTCACAGGAGAGCCGTTTAAAGTTCGGATTTTTCGAAATAAATCATAAAAAATCAATGGATTGTCCAATTTAAGATATTATTTCTGTAGATGGATTGGTTTTTATTTCCCCAAATTTACAGATATGTTTCATAAACTAATTTAGCATGGTTCTCAAAATAAGTGGCGTATTATACAATACCGTTTCAATATACGAACAGGATAAATGTAAATATTGATTAATACTACATTTTGAAAGCAAAAATGGCTAATAAGCATTACTGAGTTTCAATTTTTTTGGGAAAAATGTTTTATGCTAAAAAAATATATAGATTTTGAGCTCAATATTGTTTTATGACAAACTTTGCTAGAGTTTTATGTATAGTAGAAATGTATTAAGAGCTTTATGGATATTTTATAATGACTGTTTTATAACAGAAGTGTAATTTTTTTTTTAATTTCTTAGTATTTATTAGTGAGAAAATTATTTTAATCAGTTAATATTATATTAAACATTTTTGCTTAGTAGTTGAAGTAAAAATATTTGGTTAGAAATATTAATTTAATTTTTTTTTCAATTTTAAACTGGTGTATTACAAGCAAACAAGAAATATTAACTTTAATATTTTATTTATTTTTTTATAAACACAATATTTATGTTAAATATTGTAAAACAAATTATACTAGAAAACAAAACCAAAGTAGCAAAAAAATATTCATTAAAAAAAATATAAACAATAATATTAATTATTATTCTAGTCAGAAAGCTCATTATCTTCTTCGTCAGTCTCTGGTAGGGTATCTTTGGTATTACTTCGTGAATAATTTAGATACTCATTATGATATTGGGCAGGAATAACATCAGCTTGGCAAAGTTTTATCAGGTCCTGAAACTTCTGCTTGGAAATTGGGAGAGGTTCCTTATAAAGTTCCTGTAATTGAGTATTTTTTATTTTTCTAACTATAGGTATTGTCTCTTCTTCCGCATCTGTCGCCATGGAATATTTAATCACCATCTTATTCATATCAGTCTTTCTAAATGTAGCAACTCTAACTTTACTAATTTTACCCACCAGATTGCCTTTAAAGTATTTGTCTGAAATATTGTCCTATGACAAAAAATCCTTGTGCGTTAGAGAATTAACTACATAAGGTTCAGAGTTATTACGAGCCAACTCAAACACTGTCGCCCATTGTGAGGGTGCCCATATAATATGCTTGGAAATACTCTTTTTAATCACAGAGTGCATGCTATCTACTGGCATGTAGGTATGGCCTGGAAGAAGATAATTGATCTGAATAACATCCAGATTTGAACAGGAGAGCAGGTTGTGATGAAGTGAAGCTAGAGTAGTTCTATTCTTATTTTGTCCTGGACATGAATCACAGTAAAGAAGAAGATTTTTTACTGTACCACATTTATCAACTTCTTTAATATATGCTTTTAAAATTGTTGCTATCTCATTGGCGCCCCCCTTGCCTTCACTTTTATTTCAGCTAAAACAGTATCCTTTTCTTGCTGTACTCTCATAAAACGTTAGGTTGTAGACTACTATCTTTCTTGAATAATACAGGAGCATGCTATCACCATGTGGGGCACCTTTTGAAGATCGAATGATGTACATAAAATAGAGTTGTTTCTGTTGTGAACATTTTGATGAACTTTAAACCTTTTTTTACTTTCATCTCTCTCTTTCTCGTGAGCTTTCTTCAACGCTTCATTTTCAGGACCTAGATTATTCTCGAATCCAACGCACTTGACACATTTGTCCTTTTTAGGAACGTGAAACCCAATTTTAAACTCTTTTGAAAATATATTCCTAAACAGCCTTTCTGATACAACATCTATTCCATTTTTAGTTTGCTCCGACTTGTAAAACAGATATAATTTTGATACATTCTTGAATTCCTGAGGTAGATACACTTTTGTGGAGTCTTTTCTGGAATAATGGGATGGGAGTGCTGGTAGGCTTGTCATACATTTTTTTAAAGATTTAAGAATGTGATCTGGGGTCTTGTTGGCGGGAATAGTTTTTCCTCGCATGTCTTCCTTGGCTAAACCGTAAGATGCATTTGAAAGAGTGTAGTATACGTATCTTTGCGATATATCTAGTGTCGCAAGCAGAAATTTTAGACAAACTGGTCGTTGTCCCTCCCCTTCGTTTATAAAATATTGGAAGGTTTTCGACTTTCTGCTCAGATCTTTTACCCTCTTTCTCTTCACATCTCCATTTTTTGACATCGAAACCAGCCAATCACGACGTCTTTGTGGGCTTAAATTCCAAAAATGGTCGAAGACACTAATCCGTTTATCTTCAGGAATATCTCCACATTTGTTGAAACAATCAGATCCTTGGCAAGGATTGGGACGCAATTTTTTTTCTGGTACAATGGTTCCATCATTCTTCTTGTAAGATTTTCCTTTCTGATATAACGCTTGTCGTTCTTTAGCCTTATTTTTTCTTTTTTCTCTACATCCTGCTTCTCCCACAACTTCATCTTCACCAATACAAACTTTTTGCTTTTTCTTTGTTTTTTTCTTACTTGGCATATCTTCATCCTCTTCTTCGCTTGAGCCATCCCAAGAGCTTGAACTATATTCAATTTCAAACTCATCATTGTCCAAGAAATCAAAATAGGCAGCTGTTAAAATTTTTGTAGCAGAACGAATACGAGTTTTTTTTACTAATATTCTCGTGTGTAGGTACATCACTGAGGGATGACATTTCTTTAGTAATTGGCAACAAATCATCATCGGAGTTAGTTTGTTGGCCGTTGTAGGAAGAATCAAGCATACTATTATAATTGCTTACAGATGGAGAGACCTTTTGTAGAACGGTAAATGTTTTTTGGTATTCATTTTCTGAATTTTCTATGATATTACTAGCAATACTATTATCTCCATGGTTTGTCCATGGTTTATAGGTAGACGTTCCCGGATTATTGAATAAGTTGGTAATTAAATTATTGGCGATTGTGCAGGTGGGTGAATATACTATGTTTTCTTCAGTCAATGAATGACTTACAAGTTCTTCAATACCCAATTGAGGATTTTTACATTGTTGGGGCATTTCAGGATGATCATCATAGGAGCTCATACAACTGACGCCTATAGGAGATGCTGTGGCTGTTGAAGCATTAATACATGTATATTTCTCCTCTGAAATAATTTGCTGCTCTGGTACTCATGAGGAACTGTTCATTGTCAGTGAAACGTTCGTAAGTCTGCGATAGCGAGGAGAAGTAACGAGTTGATCGATTCGGTAGGCCGAGGCGCCACCATATCCATGATAAGGTCACTTCGTCGCATGGCTCCTGTAAGAAACAAACTTCATCAATATATAAGAACAGTTTAAGAATATTTTTTAAACCACATTTTATAAATATTTGCTGATCATGACTTAATTCGCTGAAGAAAAAATGTTCGTCTATTTTAAAAAAGTGATCTAATTTTTTTATCAAATATTTACAATTCTTGCCCAAAAACCTATCAAACTACACATTACTCGAATTTTATAAAAAAGTTAATATTGACCTCCTTCATTTTCACCTTCACCCCTTCCTTTTTACTAAATTACCGGATAAAT